CTCCCCCACCTCTCCCCCACCTCTCCCCCACCTCTTCCCCACCTCTCCCCCACCTCTCCCCCACCTCTTCCCCACCTCTTCCCCACCTCTTCCCCACCTCTTCCCCACCTCTTCCCCACCTCTTCCCCACCTCTTCCCCACCTCTTCCCCACCTCTTCCCCAGCTCTTCCCCACCTCTTCCCCACCTCTCCCCCACCTCTTCCCCACCTCTTCCCCCCCTCCAGCCGGCCATCAGCGCAATAGAGTTCGCACCGCATCTCAAGGCCATCGCTGCCAGCATGACACACCTGGTCTTTGCCAACTCCACGCCCACTGCTCAAACGGCCCCGGCCACCATTCCCCCCAGCCTCCGGGAACAACTCAGGAGACACCCAGGCCAGGTAAGGTGCGGGGTGGGGGAGACCAGGGAAGCAAGTGGCAATGAGCCTGGTCTCCTCGTTTTTGTCGCCTTGTGTTTGCCAACTCCACGCTCACGGCTGCCACGACACCGGCCACGATCCCGCACAGCCTCCGGGAACAACTCAGGAGACACCCAGGCCAGGTAAGGTGCGGGGTGCTGCAATAGCAGGGGATGCAATAGCAGACAGGGAAGTAAGTATGTATAATAAACTGAGAAAAAAAGATCTGAGGGAGTTTCCGATCAGCTATATTGCAGTCACATTCAAGAATTCTCATAAGCATCCGGGAACATATTAGGTGACACCTGTGGCATGCAGTGCGGGGCTGGCTTGGTTTGATTGATCAGGCATTGAGGCAGGAGTGGTGAGAAGGCGGGTTGGTTTGATCTGTGCCACAGCTCTGGTTGGTTTGATCTGTGCCACAGCTCTGGTTGGTTTGATCTGTGCCACAGCTCTGGTTGGTTTGATCTGTGCCACAGCTCTGGTTGGTTTGATCTGTGCCACAGCTCTGGTTGGTTTGATCTGTGCCACAGCTCTGGTTGGTTTGATCTGTGCCACAGCTCTGGTTGGTTTGATCTGTGCCACAGCTCTGGTTGGTTTGATCTGTGCCACAGCTCTGGTTGGTTTGATCTGTGCCACAGCTCTGGTTGGTTTGATCTGTGCCACAGCTCTGGTTGGTTTGATCTGTGCCACAGCTCTGGTTGGTTTGATCTGTGCCACAGCTCTGGTTGGTTTGATCTGTGCCACAGCTCTGGTTGGTTTGATCTGTGCCACAGCTCTGGTTGGTTTGATCTGTGCCACAGCTCTGGTTGGTTTGATCTGTGCCACAGCTCTGGTTGGTTTGATCTGTGCCACAGCTCTGGTTGGTTTGATCTGTGCCACAGCTCTGGTTGGTTTGATCTGTGCCACAGCTCTGGTTGGTTTGATCTGTGCCACAGCTCTGGTTGGTTTGATCTGTGCCACAGCTCTGGTTGGTTTGATCTGTGCCACAGCTCTGGTTGGTTTGATCTGTGCCACAGCTCTGGTTGGTTTGATCTGTGCCACAGCTCTGGTTGGTTTGATCTGTGCCACAGCTCTGGTTGGTTTGATCTGTGCCACAGCTCTGGTTGGTTTGATCTGTGCCACAGCTCTGGTTGGTTTGATCTGTGCCACAGCTCTGGTTGGTTTGATCTGTGCCACAGCTCTGGTTGGTTTGATCTGTGCCACAGCTCTGGTTGGTTTGATCTGTGCCACAGCTCTGGTTGGTTTGATCTGTGCCACAGCTCTGGTTGGTTTGATCTGTGCCACAGCTCTGGTTGGTTTGATCTGTGCCACAGCTCTGGTTGGTTTGATCTGTGCCACAGCTCTGGTTGGTTTGATCTGTGCCACAGCTCTGGTTGGTTTGATCTGTGCCACAGCTCTGGTTGGTTTGATCTGTGCCACAGCTCTGGTTGGTTTGATCTGTGCCACAGCTCTGGTTGGTTTGATCTGTGCCACAGCTCTGGTTGGTTTGATCTGTGCCACAGCTCTGGTTGGTTTGATCTGTGCCACAGCTCTGGTTGGTTTGATCTGTGCCACAGCTCTGGTTGGTTTGATCTGTGCCACAGCTCTGGTTGGTTTGATCTGTGCCACAGCTCTGGTTGGTTTGATCTGTGCCACAGCTCTGGTTGGTTTGATCTGTGCCACAGCTCTGGTTGGTTTGATCTGTGCCACAGCTCTGGTTGGTTTGATCTGTGCCACAGCTCTGGTTGGTTTGATCTGTGCCACAGCTCTGGTTGGTTTGATCTGTGCCACAGCTCTGGTTGGTTTGATCTGTGCCACAGCTCTGGTTGGTTTGATCTGTGCCACAGCTCTGGTTGGTTTGATCTGTGCCACAGCTCTGGTTGGTTTGATCTGTGCCACAGCTCTGGTTGGTTTGATCTGTGCCACAGCTCTGGTTGGTTTGATCTGTGCCACAGCTCTGGTTGGTTTGATCTGTGCCACAGCTCTGGTTGGTTTGATCTGTGCCACAGCTCTGGTTGGTTTGATCTGTGCCACAGCTCTGGTTGGTTTGATCTGTGCCACAGCTCTGGTTGGTTTGATCTGTGCCACAGCTCTGGTTGGTTTGATCTGTGCCACAGCTCTGGTTGGTTTGATCTGTGCCACAGCTCTGGTTGGTTTGATCTGTGCCACAGCTCTGGTTGGTTTGATCTGTGCCACAGCTCTGGTTGGTTTGATCTGTGCCACAGCTCTGGTTGGTTTGATCTGTGCCACAGCTCTGGTTGGTTTGATCTGTGCCACAGCTCTGGTTGGTTTGATCTGTGCCACAGCTCTGGTTGGTTTGATCTGTGCCACAGCTCTGGTTGGTTTGATCTGTGCCACAGCTCTGGTTGGTTTGATCTGTGCCACAGCTCTGGTTGGTTTGATCTGTGCCACAGCTCTGGTTGGTTTGATCTGTGCCACAGCTCTGGTTGGTTTGATCTGTGCCACAGCTCTGGTTGGTTTGATCTGTGCCACAGCTCTGGTTGGTTTGATCTGTGCCACAGCTCTGGTTGGTTTGATCTGTGCCACAGCTCTGGTTGGTTTGATCTGTGCCACAGCTCTGGTTGGTTTGATCTGTGCCACAGCTCTGGTTGGTTTGATCTGTGCCACAGCTCTGGTTGGTTTGATCTGTGCCACAGCTCTGGTTGGTTTGATCTGTGCCACAGCTCTGGTTGGTTTGATCTGTGCCACAGCTCTGGTTGGTTTGATCTGTGCCACAGCTCTGGTTGGTTTGATCTGTGCCACAGCTCTGGTTGGTTTGATCTGTGCCACAGCTCTGGTTGGTTTGATCTGTGCCACAGCTCTGGTTGGTTTGATCTGTGCCACAGCTCTGGTTGGTTTGATCTGTGCCACAGCTCTGGTTGGTTTGATCTGTGCCACAGCTCTGGTTGGTTTGATCTGTGCCACAGCTCTGGTTGGTTTGATCTGTGCCACAGCTCTGGTTGGTTTGATCTGTGCCACAGCTCTGGTTGGTTTGATCTGTGCCACAGCTCTGGTTGGTTTGATCTGTGCCACAGCTCTGGTTGGTTTGATCTGTGCCACAGCTCTGGTTGGTTTGATCTGTGCCACAGCTCTGGTTGGTTTGATCTGTGCCACAGCTCTGGTTGGTTTGATCTGTGCCACAGCTCTGGTTGGTTTGATCTGTGCCACAGCTCTGGTTGGTTTGATCTGTGCCACAGCTCTGGTTGGTTTGATCTGTGCCACAGCTCTGGTTGGTTTGATCTGTGCCACAGCTCTGGTTGGTTTGATCTGTGCCACAGCTCTGGTTGGTTTGATCTGTGCCACAGCTCTGGTTGGTTTGATCTGTGCCACAGCTCTGGTTGGTTTGATCTGTGCCACAGCTCTGGTTGGTTTGATCTGTGCCACAGCTCTGGTTGGTTTGATCTGTGCCACAGCTCTGGTTGGTTTGATCTGTGCCACAGCTCTGGTTGGTTTGATCTGTGCCACAGCTCTGGTTGGTTTGATCTGTGCCACAGCTCTGGTTGGTTTGATCTGTGCCACAGCTCTGGTTGGTTTGATCTGTGCCACAGCTCTGGTTGGTTTGATCTGTGCCACAGCTCTGGTTGGTTTGATCTGTGCCACAGCTCTGGTTGGTTTGATCTGTGCCACAGCTCTGGTTGGTTTGATCTGTGCCACAGCTCTGGTTGGTTTGATCTGTGCCACAGCTCTGGTTGGTTTGATCTGTGCCACAGCTCTGGTTGGTTTGATCTGTGCCACAGCTCTGGTTGGTTTGATCTGTGCCACAGCTCTGGTTGGTTTGATCTGTGCCACAGCTCTGGTTGGTTTGATCTGTGCCACAGCTCTGGTTGGTTTGATCTGTGCCACAGCTCTGGTTGGTTTGATCTGTGCCACAGCTCTGGTTGGTTTGATCTGTGCCACAGCTCTGGTTGGTTTGATCTGTGCCACAGCTCTGGTTGGTTTGATCTGTGCCACAGCTCTGGTTGGTTTGATCTGTGCCACAGCTCTGGTTGGTTTGATCTGTGCCACAGCTCTGGTTGGTTTGATCTGTGCCACAGCTCTGGTTGGTTTGATCTGTGCCACAGCTCTGGTTGGTTTGATCTGTGCCACAGCTCTGGTTGGTTTGATCTGTGCCACAGCTCTGGTTGGTTTGATCTGTGCCACAGCTCTGGTTGGTTTGATCTGTGCCACAGCTCTGGTTGGTTTGATCTGTGCCACAGCTCTGGTTGGTTTGATCTGTGCCACAGCTCTCTCCTCCCTCGTCTCCTCCTCGTTGCTTCATCAATTCACGTTTGAGCCTCCCAGCCCATCACGCCTCTCCCATTCGTTTTCTTTTCCAACCCCACGCACACCTCTCCACCCCTCCGCCTTCCCCTTCGTTACCTGCGCAGGTGCGGTACCTAGCGGTGCAGTGGCGTACGGAGTATGCGCTTCTGCAGCCCAACATGAGAGTTGACTAACAAAAAACACCTCCCCACTTCCCCACACCCCACTTCCCCCCACACCCCCACCTCTGCTCCCTCAGGTGCGGTACCTAGCGGTGCAGTGGCGCACGGAGTATGCGCTGCTGCAACCCAACATGAGTGCTCGCCTCATGCTGCGGTGCACCCGCGGACTCATCAAAGCTGCCTTGACCGCCATTCGCGTGCGTGATGGGGAAGAGGCGGGGGCGGGGGGCAGGGGGGCGGTTGGGGGATGGTTTGGGAGGGGCAGTTGGAGAGGAGGGAGGGAGTGCGGACGGAGGGAGAAGAGGGTGGGGGTTTGGTTGGGAGGTGGTTTTGGGTGACTACAGCTTGTTGCGGGGTGGTGTGCTGCTTGGCAGTATATGCATCCGTTGTTATTACTCTCCTATGACTTCCACATCTTGTTTCATGGGACATGGGACATGTAGTCCTGCTCCCCGCCTTCCTCCACCTTGCACTTCCTTACCCCTACCCCCTACTTTCCCAACCCTTCACTCTCACCTTTCTTGCTTTCGTTTTCTGCCATCGCATCGTTCCGTCTTTGCACCATCAGACTAAGGCGTTATCAGAGCGATTGTTTCTAGCCACGGACATGCATCCGGACGGCCGGCCTGTCTCCATGTCCTTTTATGGACTCGAGTTCCTGCAACAGCGCATAGCCAAGCGAGTGATTCAGGTAACATGGCCAGCCTGTGCAGGAGGTACTGGTGTTTGCAATTTGCAGATCGCCTTTTTGCGTAACACATCCTCAACTGTTTACCATGTACAGTGCATCTGTTTGTGCAGTGCAAGTCCGTATATTTATCATGTGTGTGCCCCTACTCTGCTCTTCAACCCTACCTGGATTTTCCTCGTCTCCCAGCTTCTTTACTCCAAGTTGCAGCCTGTGTCATGGACAACAGTGGACCCTCAGTTCCCGCGCCTGGATGCGGGAGTGCAGGTGCCAGCTTCTTCCCTTCTCAGCCTTTCTCTGTCTGGTGGCCCGTTTTCATCAAAAGCTCTTTTATGATGCTCGTGTCGCAAGGGTGCAGAACTGCACAGGCATGCTCAACGTATCTGATAGTGCGTTCTTTTTGTCTGCGGTCCTTGTTTCTTGCAGGGAATTCTGGACAAGCTGGTTTGTCTAAAGGCAACATTTTTTCTATACCCTCCAGACCAGTGTGGAGGCCACAGCAGCAGTTTTACTCGGGACATTATTGGCAACAGACGGAAGAATAGGAGGGCCTTTCCCAGTGAAGCATGGAGTTTAGTGTAACAGTCATGTATCCAGTAACCACAACGCTGTGAAAGAAAATAAAATGTTATAGAAAAATGTATCGTATCGTTCTAGCAGGCATGTATGCAGTGCGCTCACAGCACATTGCACTTGATTAAAGAATTGTGGATGTTATTCTTCTGACTGAAAGGCTGGAGTGAGAAGTAGTTGTGGCCGGGCCATAACACTCTCCCTCTTGGACCATGTCCATGGCAACCACCAACGTGCTTTGTGCCTGCTGTCGTTTGATGAATGCTCAGAGAGTCTTTGTCGTTTGAGGTCTCCTCCAATAAGTGACTCATCCAAAATCCGACCCTGTCCCATTCATAGGTAAATTGTGAATCAGACTATTAGCAAATGGGAGAAGAAGGGAAATGCACTTGTTGAGGTGACTTACTGCAGGTTCATGCCTTGATGGGCCGTCAAGAGTAACAACCGGGTTGTCACCCAAAAATCTGCAAGTCAACTCATCGGTTGAGATAAGAATGAGCTGGGACCGCCATACTCACATTTTCATGGCTCCTCACCTATAATTCCACTCGTAGACAATGGCAGGAGATGCTAAATCTCCCGTGAACGGTATTCTCACAGCGTAGCCAGCAAAAGAGCCTTCTTCGCCAAGAATCAGATCTCCTTCTTTCCAGGACACAACCGTTGGATGGTTAGCTGGACCGCTACCGGCAACTCGTGCTTTCTCTGTGATGGAAAGGCTTAACAGCATGATCTTAGCTTTTCCGCGATTGTGTATACCGAGAACGACGTGCCAATACGGTCGATTGCCGCTGGAAGTTGCATTCGGCAAGCAGAGAGTAGCGTTTGATGTCATCTCAACGAGCGGAGTCGGTAAGTGCGCTTTCACCAGGTCAAACTTTCGTTTTGTTGCCCCGGTAGCTGTTTTAGACGACTCAGTAGATTCCCTTACTGCTGCATTCAGAGGTCTAGTCGTAGGCTCCATGAAGCGTAAGTAGCGTATGCTTTCAAAGAAGAGTCGCGGAGTGGTGTCGGAGGTTGTTGGGTCAACTCAAGAAGTGGACATTCTGACGTAGATCCATGAGGAAAGTCTGGTCAAATGTTCAAACCTGATGAGTTTCAGGAGGTACCAGCATTCAAAGCTCGTCCGCGAGCTGCTCTGTGATGGTGGGGTGCCGAGATGGAAGGAAGAGCCTGCCATGGAACACGAGCCGTGACAGGCCCGTCATCGGAGTGTCCTTGGGAATTGGGAGTCGGAATTGCACGATTTGGTTTGGGGGAAAGAGAATGCAGGAGCCTCGAGATGCTCCGAGACAAAATGCATCAATATCCAGCCTCGCAAAGTTCCACCGTGAAAGTGCAGAACTATGAGCTACGTAAGATAAATGCACATGAAATATAAGGAAGGTTTTTTAGCATGAAATGCTGAAATATGCAGCCATAAATATCTAACTATTGCACCCATGTTATGTTACTGCATGCTAACATGCCAAGATTTTTTGTAATGGAACGAGTTGTGTTGGATTGGGGTGCTGAATTTATCTGCTGTGTGTTGTGAGGGCCAAAACCTTCAAACAGATTACATGTGTTACAGCCAGTGTGAAATCTCTATGGAGTGTTTCCACATTCTAATGCGGCTTTCGCGCGCACCAGTATCGCGTACAATCAAGCCGCGAGCTTATTTCCTCTGGTGGACTTCCGTTGACCACAATTATTTGCGATCAGAGCCTCATCAGTCGAAATTATTGTTCCTCGTGACGTTCCTCGAGGTCATTGCCGAGTGTTGCCGAGGGATCCCCTCCCACCGACCGACACCTGGAGCAATATGCGTAGAACCGCCTGCCGATAATTGTCCCCCCTGTTTTATCCGCCGTTGTTGCTGGCGTGGCGTGCGCGACATCTCGGACCGCCTGGGGGATGGGGGAAAACAGGCAACAGCAGCACAGAACTTCGTCCCCTTCGCGGAAAGCCCACAGGGCAAAAGCGGACGCAGGGAAGGGTGGGAAGAACCTCCCTGATCTGGGGCGCAATGAAGCGCCCCTTGAAACCCAGGCGCGCAAGAAAACGTCTCCAAATCTCCGCATTTTGACGTCCCCCCCTTCCGCAGCTTGCTTCTCAATGGTGTTTCATCCGTACGATCTGCTCCGAACCTGCCATCTTCCAGCTTTCAAAACCAAACTGAGGCTCGGCACGAGTAATTGCGCGTCGCGTGAGGAAAAAGCAAGTCATGCTCAGCCTTGTGGAAGGAATCTTGCGCCCGATCCGACTTGTCTCACAACCACCACAACCAGCCGCGAAGAGAGGTGTCACACGATGAGAAGTGCCGCCTGTCTCCTGTCGCCTCGAATAATTTCAGTGTGGTCCGTGCAATTTTCTCGCTTTCTTTAGCTTGTGCTGCGTGCTCCATCCTCGCGAGAACGCTGCATTCGATTCTGTTGCGCTGGCGCATTATTGTAGCTCTTGTCACCTCTTACACTCCGTGTCGTAATCACGCTAATAGGGAGCAAAGCTTACCGCATTCTCACGACCGCTAGCTAATCTCGTTTTCTTTTGCCAGGAAAGCACGAGAGCCCAATTTTCCGCCATTTGACAGGAAAAAATTGCGCAATAGACAAGAAAGGAAGACATATCGCTGAGATAGGCATCCGAGATCCTGCCGCAACGTTCTTGACACAGACAGCGAGACAGCGCGCGCGGGCTCTGAGTAAACAGGAAACAAAAAGTGAATCCTGCCGTATCCATGGCGGACGGGCGGAATGACTCGAAAAGAACAGTCCCGTCATCTTAGATAGAAGTTACAGCCAACGTTACTGAAAGGCGCCGATTGTCCCAGCGGAGGCTCGACGAGTCGTTGTCCGCGTGGACGGAGTTAACCGACGGCGCGCTGGCGATTCGAGAGCATACGGCGTCTACGCCGCCTGTTGCGCCGCCTTCTGCGCCGCGTGACATGGCGTCGAGCAGCAGCTGTGCGCGACAGCGATCAGCGCGACCTTCGAGCCGCGCCTGCCAAGCGCAGCGGAGGGCCTCCGGCGTTTGCGGGCAGCTCGGACGTTCGGGGAGTTATCAAATCTCGATTTCCGCCACCGCTGGTGCTTCTACTGTTGCTACTATAAAGGTTTCGGTTCCAATAGTACCAATAATGGCGCGGCGCGCATTCGTTCCGCTTATGCTCGCGCTCATGCTGCTTGTTATCCCCGGGCCGCTTCCCGCAGCAGCGGCGGAGGGCGCACGAGAAGCCCGGGGCAACCCCCGCGCAGGTTCTGGCGGAACACACCCAGCGGTGTCGCGGGGGAATGGCGGACGCTCCCCCGCGAACAACTGAGCTGGACAGGCGGTAGTGAAGCAGCTTTTGGTGACGAGGAAAATACGCAGCAGCTGGAATTGATCCCACGATCTAATCCGATAGGGATGAAATCACGGACGATCATGAAAACACAGAGGGATTCAACGGCGGTGGGGATAACGGGGAATAAAAAACCGCGGCGGCGGTTGCCGTGGGGGAAAGCGGCGAGTACTGGTCCTAGTAGTGCCGGCGGAGTGGGCTGGTTTGCGCCGGATACGGCGGAGAGAAGACGGAGCGACTCGGATTACTTCGGCGAACGTGGTGGGACTGGGGAATCCATGCGAAGGGGACGGTCGAGATCGTGGGAGGAGGGAGATGGACGGCTGGAGGGGGCTGATTACAACGAGGATGAAGGATATTACGGCAGTTCTGATGACGGAGGTTCGACTGGATTTGTCGACACGTGGGTGGAGCGTGACGGTTGGCTGGTGCCAAGTGAGTATAACGGTGGAGCGGAAGTCAACTCTGTCGACGTGGCCAGCCGTGAATGGTCGGATTCTGACGTGGCTGCGGCTTTGACGGAACGCGGACGTGACTGGTCAGAAGAAGGAGCGGCGGAGGAGATGAACCAATGGGAGCGGGCATCGCTGCCAGAGGAGTCTGACGTTGACGGAGGAGGTTCGTGGACGCAGGAGTCGGACTACGACTGGCAGACGGATTCCGTCAGCGAGCCGACGGGCGAATTCATCTTCCGTCAGGACAGTGACGAATCGGGTGAAGAGGACGATATTCTGAGTTCGTGGGCAGAGGAACGTTCGGATGAGGCTGCGGAGGAGCAGGAGGAGCGGGAGCAGCAGCACGAGGAGGAGCAAGAAAAAGAAGCAGAAGTGGAAGAGGAAGAGGAGAAGGAGGAGGAGGAGGAGGAGGAGGCAAGAAACGGAAACGTGCGTGGTAAGGAAGAGGCACCAGCACGAAGGGGCGAGGAGGACGAGTGGGGAGTGGCGGCTGTAACAAGAGGAACAGGAGGAGAGTTCGGCAAGGGGAGAGTTACTCATGGGAGGAGGGCTGTTTCAGCACCTGTTGCGGAAGCAAGTGCGTGGTCCCGGCAGGGATGGAACCGTCAGGATGGCGGCAGGGGAAGGGGCACGGGCCGGCGAAACGGCCGGCGAAACGGCCGGCGAAACGGCAGGCGAAACGGCCGGCGAAACGGCCAGAGAAACGGCAGGCGAACTGGGAGGAGGAACAGCGCGAGAGGTGGTGGGAGAGGCGGCATGAAGCGTGGCAGCAGCGGCGGCGGCGGCGGCGGCGGCGGGGCGGGCCTGAAATTGCAGCAGGGGGAGACGCGAGGGCGCGAGATGCAGACTTGGAGGAGCGGAACGAGACGGCTCGACGTGGAGAACAAGGGCAGCTCTGGGAACGCTGCTGCTAGTGCTGCCTCTGGTGGTGTGTCCACCACAGCATCAGCTGGACCAGAAGCCAGAGCAGCAGCCGGAGACGCAACAGCAGTGGTAGAGAGCAGCAGCAGCAGCAGCGGCAGCAGCAGCAGCAGCAGCAGCAACGGCAGCAGCAGCGAAAGCAACAGCAGCAGCGACAGCAGCAGCAGCAGCAGCAGCAGCGACAGCAGCAGCAGCAGCAGCAGCATCAACCTGCTAGCGAACCCGAGCTTCGAGCAGCTGCAAGCAGACGGACTGCAGCCCGCAGGATGGACCGCCTCCGGCAATGTCTCGGTGCGCTGCCTCCCTACTGCCAGCACCACCACCAGCACCAACACCACGGGCGCTGGCACCAACAGCAGCAGTGGCAGCAGCGGCAGTGGCAGCGGGTATGGCTACAGCTACGGCCTGCCTTCCACCCCTATTACGCCCGCGCATGGCCGTTGCGTTGCCGTCCTTGCTTCCGGCTGCTCCCTCCCCTCCTCCTCCTCCTCCTCCTCCTCTTCCTCCTCCTCCTCCTCCTCTTCCTCCTCTTCCTCTTCGTCTCCCGAGCCTCCCTGTGAGGGATCCCTGTCCCAAACCGTGGCAACAGTGCCAGGAGCAACGTACCTGCTGCAGCTCTCTCTCGCGTCTGTGCCGCTCCCGTTCGCCCCGCCCTCGCCCTTCGCCCTGCAAGTGCTGCTGGGGAACCAACCCGTGCTGCTGTCCGCGCAGGAGAGACAGGGGAGCGGCGGAGGAGGGGGAGGCGGAGGGGGAGGGGAAGGGGGAGGGGGAGAAGGAGGAGGTAATGGGGGAGGGGGGGGTGGAACGCCAGGAGGAGGGGGGAGTGGAGGTGGAATAGGAGGGGGGGAGGGGGGTGGGGGTGGAAACTTCTGGGATGGGTGGTTCAACTGGTTACCTGACTTTGGCTGGGGTTCCAGCCAAGCACAAGGTGCATCCACAGAACTTCCTGCTACCTCTGCTGCTGCTTCTCCTACCGATGCTGCTTCTGCGGCTGCAGCAGCCGGTTCTGCTGTGCCTGCAGCATACGCAGCAGCGCTGTCGTTCCACGTGGCAGCAATCCAGTTCGTGGCAACAGGGGAATCGACGACTGTGGTGCTGCAGGTGAAGGGAGGAGCCAATGCCACTATGGTTGACGCCTTGTCCCTCATGCTTCTGCCTGCTGCTGCTGCTGCCAATGGCAGCGGTGGTGCTGGTGCTGGTGGTGCTAACGGCGGTGGTGGGAATGGGAATGGGAACAGCACAGGTGCACCGCTGCTGCTCCAGTTCCCTCGCTGGCCTTCCTCCTCCTCTGCTTCAGCGTCCCCCTCGCCTTTCATTCTCTCGGGTGATGCTTCCCTGGTCAACTCCTCCTCCTCCTCCTCCTCTGATTCCTCCGGTTCCTCCCAATGCTCTTCCTTCCCCTCCATTCTCCTTGGCACCAGCAGCGGCGACGGTGGTGACGGCAGCGGCGACACCAACGTTGGCGGTGGCAGCGGCAGGGGCAGCGGAACTATATTCTTTGCCCAGCCGCTGTACATCCTTTCAAGCATCGACTCAAACTCCACCTCCAATTCCTCATCCTCCTCCTCCTCTCCAATCTCTCCAACCTCTCCCTCCTCCTCCTCCCCGTCCTGCAACTCCTCCTCTTTCTTCACCTCTTTCACTTTTACCAACAGCAAACCTACACCCTCCTCTTCATCCTCCCCCTCCTCCTCATCCTCCCCCTCCTCTTCATCCTCCCCCTCCTCCTCATCCTCCCCCTCCTCCTCCTCCAATCCAACACCACCCAGCAGCATCGCTCTCGTCTTCTCCCCACTCCCTACAAACACGCCCCTCTGCCCTATAACCTCCAACTCCACCTCCTCCTCCTCATCCTCCTCCTCCTCTTGCCTCTGCTTTGGCTCCTCCTCCTCCTCTCCATCTTCCCCCTCCTCTTCTTCCTCCTTCCCCTCCTCCTCCTCTGCCCCCCACCTCTTGCCCTGCCCCCCTCGCCTGATTGTCCAAATCGACACGTCAACAGCAGCAACAACGGCTGGCATCGGAATCATGCACGCTTTCACGCAATGGCTCGCTTCTAACTCCACTGCTGCTGCTACCACCACCACCACCACTGCTGCTGCTGCCGCTGCTGCTGTGGCTGCAGCAGATGTGTCCGTATCGGTGGAATACTGCGCGCCCCTGCAGATGCTTACAGTGGCACTTAACCTCAATCCACCCCTCCTGTCCTCACTAGCTGCAAGCGGCAGCAGCAATGGTAGTAGCAGCGGTGGTGGCAGTGGCAGCGGTAACGGTAACGGTGGCCGAAGTGGCAACGTGTATTTCATTCCCTCCTGCCCCATGACTTCTGCTCTCACAACCACCACCAGCAACAGCAGCAGCAGTAGCAGCAGCAGCAGCAGCGCCAACAGCAACAGCACCGGGAGCAGCAGTGCAATAGCGCAACTGGTGGTGAGCGCACGGGTAAACCTGTGCCAACTTATGGTGACTCCAACGATTAGCGGCACAAGCAGCAGCAGCAGGACCGCACGCACCTTGCGCTCTTCTGCTTCTTCTTCGTCCTCCTCCTCCTCCTGCTCCTCGTCCCACTCTGTCTCATTCTCCTCTTCTCCTGTGACCGTCGCTGCTACTGCTGCAGCTGCTGGTGGCGCCGCTAAGACGGACAGACTCCTTGCTGAATCAGACAACACAGGCCAGCCGTCGCCCGCTCCCGCTTCCTCTCCCTCTCCTTCTCCCTCCTCTCCTTCTCCCTCTCCCTCTCCTTCTCCCTCTCTCTCCTCCTCTCCCCTCTCCCTCTCCCTCCTCTCCTCTCCTCCTCCTCTCCCTCTCCCTCTCCCTCTCCCTCTCCCTCTCCCTCTCCCTCTCCCTCTCCCTCTCCCTCTCCCTCTCCCTCTCCCTCTCCCTCTCCCTCTCTCCCTCTTCCCGCTTTCCTCTCTTTTCGGGATAGCAGCATCCTCTGGAAGCGATGGCAGTGCGAGTGGTGCTGCGCGCAGTCCGTTCGTGGTTCACTCCTGGATGGGCGCAGGTGAGCACTGTACTGTGCGCTGAGGTGAGGTGAGGTGAGTTGAGTTGAGGTGAAGAGCGGTGCGGTGAGTTGAGGTCAGGTGGGGTGAGGCAAGGTGCGGCATTGTAATTGAAGCCGAAGATGAAATAGATGAAAGCCGAAGCAATAGATCTTGCCTTTTTTTGCTTCGGCTTTCATCTATTGCTCCTTCATTTCTCATCTCCTTGTCCCTCCTTCTCTGCTCTCCCTGCTCTCACTCTCTTGCGCTGCTCTCCCTGTCGTCATTTCTTGATGCCATGCCTAAACTTCTCCCCGTCCTCCCTCTCCTCCCTCTCCTCCCTCTCCTCCCTCTCCTCCCTCTCCTCCCTCTCCTCCCTCTCCTCCCTCTCCTCCCTCTCCTCCCTCTCCTCCCTCTCCTCCCTCTCCTCCCTCTCCTCCCTCTCCTCCCTCTCCTCCCTCTCCTCCCTCTCCTCCCTCTCCTCCTCCCTCTCCTCCCTCTCCTCCCTCTCCTCCCTCTCCTCCCTCTCCTCCCTCTCCTCCCTCTCCTCCCTCTCCTCCCTCTCCTCCCTCTCCTCCCTCTCCTCCCTCTCCTCCCTCTCCTCCCTCTCCTCCCTCTCCTCCCTCTCCTCCCTCTCCTCCCTCTCCTCCCTCTCCTCCCTCTCCTCCCTCTCCTCCCTCTCCTCCCTCTCCTCCCTCTCCTCCCTCTCCTCCCTCTCCTCCCTCTCCTCCCTCTCCTCCCTCTCCTCCCTCTCCTCCCTCTCCTCCCTCTCCTCCCTCTCCTCCCTCTCCTCCCTCTCCTCCCTCTCCTCCCTCTCCTCCCTCTCCTCCCTCTCCTCCCTCTCCTCCCTCTCCTCCCTCTCCTCCCTCTCCTCCCTCTCCTCCCTCTCCTCCCTCTCCTCCCTCTCCTCCCTCTCCTCCCTCTCCTCCCTCTCCTCCTTCTCCTCCGCTGCTCTCCATCCCTCCCACGCCCCTCCACCAGACACCGCCACAGCCCTTAGCTTCGTCCCTCCCCAGCCACCACCACAACCAACACCATCACCAACACCACCATCACCAACACCACCGCCGCCTTCACCGCCCGCAGCAGCAGCAGGAGCAGGCATGAGTCCGTGGCTGATAGCGGTGATAGTCATCGGGGCGTTGCTCGTGGTGGTGCTGCTGGTGATCTGCCTCGTGCTGCTCCTGCGCCGTCGGGTTGGCCACAGCGGTGAGTCTCCATTGAGAACCCTTGCAAACTCTCTGTAGTAGTGGTGTTGGGTTCACGCTGATAGCGGTGATAGTCATCAGCGCACTGCTCCTGCTCGTGCTCGTGCTGCTGGTGATCTGCCTCGTGCTGCTCCTGCGCCGTAGGGTCGGCCACAGTGGTGAATGAGTGTGCTTCGAGATGCCTTTGGTTGGGAATGATAAAGGCCGCCTCCAAGTGCTCGTGCTGCTGCTGCTGCTGCTGCTGCTGCAGCGCCATAGGGCCCGCTACAGACAGCGGTGAGAGACTCTGCAGTCTCTGCTTTGAGGTGCCTTTGAGAATGATGAAAAGAGCACCACTCAAACTGCACGTTCTCTGGCGCACTCGTTCTCTGATTCTTCCTTCTTGTCCCCATGCTTGTTCTTTGAGAATTCTCAAAAACCACCCCATGCTTCTTCCCCTGCGCCCTTCCCCCTCTACTGCTGCAGCACGCGTGATGGGAGCTGCAAGCTCAGGGGACATTTACAGCAAAGAGAAGGGCGCAGGAGGGGAGACAGGCTATGGGAGAGTTGGAGTGGCTTATGGTGAAGGAGCGAGAGGAGGAGAGGGAGGGGAAGGAATGGGAGGAATGGGAGGAATGGGAGGAATGGGAGGAATGGGAGGAATGGGAGGAATGGGAGGAATGGGAGGAGTGGGAGGAATGGGAGGAGTGGGAGGAGTAGGAGGAGTAGGAGGAGAAGGAAGCGGAGGGATGGTAGGAGGAAGGGGAGGAGGAGAGGGAGTGCTGTCACCATTTGAGATGGCAGCGACACGGATTGGACTAGGAAGGCAAGGGTGGGCGCCATTGGGGGGTGAGGGGACGGGGTTAGGACATGCTGGGATGAGAGGAGGAACGGGAGGAGGAATGGGAGGTGGTGTGGGAGGTGGTGTGGGAGGTGGTGTGGGAGGTGGTGTGGGAGGTGGTATGGCTGTGATGGGAGGGGAAGGCGCAGAAGCAGCAGCAGCAGCAGCAGCCGCGGCGGCGGTGGCGGCGGCGACAGTGGGAGTGGCCGGTGCAGCAGCAGCTGCAGCAGCAGCAGCAGCAGCAGCAGCAGCAGCAAGAAGGCCCCAGCACACTGACCCGACCTACCCATCGGGAAGCACAGAAAATGCCCCAGCAGCAGCAGCAGCAGCAGCAGGAGCAGCAGCAGTACCCATCCCACTGCCCCTCACCCGCACCAGCAGCAGCAGCGGCGGCAGCAGTGGCGGCTCCGCCCTTCCTCTCCGCGTGTTCCGTCTAGCAGAGCTGCGACGAGCCACGTCTAACTTCCACCAGCGCAACCTCCTCGCCCTGCAGCTTGAATCAGCCCGCCGCGACGCCAACAACAACAGCAGCAGCAACAGCAATAGCAACAACGGCAGCACCAGCAATGCAGATATCTCCAACCCAGCTGCTGCCGCCTTCGCTTCCTTCAGCTTCCGCAGCATTTCCCGGGGCAGGAGCAGCGCGGGCAGTGGCTCCTTCGGTTCTGGTCGCTCCTCTGAGTCTCTGGGTTCGTTCGCTGCTGCTGCTGCTGGTAGCGGTAGGGGAACGGGCGAGAGTGGGAGATTGGGTGCGGGTGAGACGGGGGAGGAGAGTGGGAGGGTGGTGGCGGGGGGAGTGTTGAGCGCGGGGGCGTATGGGGACATGTACGCTGCGCGCACGGACGGGGGGAGTGCGTGGGCGGTGAAGCGGATGAGTGAGGAGGCTTGCTCGGCTGATGCTGGGCCTGCCGCGTTTCAACACGAGGTGAGTGAGACGGGAGAGAGATGTTGGGTGTTATTTTCGTGTTTTGAGAATTCTCAAAAATGTTATTTTTCATGTGTAAGCATGGTGTGTGGACTCACGAGTGAGTGAGTGGGCTGTGAAGCGCATGAGCGAGCGAGGAGGCGTGCTCGGCCAAGTACATTCACCTTTTGAAACGTTGTACATTCAAGCCTTTCTCCTCCTCCCCTGCCCTGCCCTGCCCTGCCCTGCCCTGCCCTGCCCTGCCCTGCCCTGCCCTGCCCTGCCCTGCCCTGCCCTGCCCTCCCCTCCCCTGCCCTGCCCTGCCCTGCCCTGCCCTGCCCTGCGCTCCCCTGCCATGCTCTCTTCTCCCCAGGTGGCGCTATTCGCATCGCTGTCACACCACCAGCGGCTGGCGCGCATAGTAGGGCTGTGTCACGAGTGCGGGGAGCGCATGGTGGTATACCACCTGCACTCGCCGCTCTCCTCCCTCTTCTTCCGCCTCCACCGCGCACCAGGTGTGACACCCCCTCCCCCTCCCCACTTCCCCCCACTTCCCCCCCATGTCCCCCCCCTTCGCTCCCCGCTCCCCCCCACTCACAATCTCTTTCGTCTCCCTCTTGCCCTGCCTCTTCAACCCCACAATACTGCCACTGCTTCCTCTCCTCTCCTCTCCTCTCCTCTCCTCTTCTCTCCTCTCCTCTTCTCTCCTCTCCTCTCCTCTCCTCTCCTCTCCTCTCCTCTCCTCTCCTCTCCTCTCCTCTCCTCTCCTCTCCTCTCCTCTCCTCTCCTCTCCTCTCCTCTCCTCTCCTCTCCTCTCCTCTCCTCTCCTCTCCCCTCTCATCCTCCCTCCCTCCCTCCCTACCCCTTCCGTTGGACCCTCTTCGCCCCACCCCACCCCACCCAACCCCACCTCACCTCAACCCATCCCCCTCTACTCCCACCCCGCCCCACCGCACCGCATTCCACCGCAGTGGACCACTTCCTGTCGGCGCAGCAGCGGGTGAACGTGGCGATATCTCTGGCGGAGGGACTAGCGTTCCTGCATGTGCACTCACCGCCCCTCGTGCACCGCAACGTGAAGCCCACCAACGTGCTGCTCTCGCCCAACGGCCACCACGTGCGTACCTTGCCCCTTTTCCTGCCTCACTCACTCACTCACTCACTCACTCACTCACTCACTCAATCACTCCATCCCTCCCTCCCTCCCGCCCTCCCTCCCTCACTCCATCCCTCCGTCCCACTCTTCCCTTTTGAGGCGCCTTACAACCAAACTCTTCCCCGCCCTTCCTCACCTCTTTCCTCCTCTCTTTCTTCCCACCTCCCTCCCTCAACCCCTCCCCATTCCCCCATCCCCCCCCCCACCAGGCGAAGCTAACGGACTTCTGTTTCGCGCATCCAGCACCGGGAGAGGACGGGGTGAGGGTGCCGCTGCGGGCGCAGGAGGAGGGCTACGTCGCGCCAGAGCTGCTGCTGCCGCCCGTGCTCTCCTTCTCCCCGGCCACTGACGTGTACAGGTGAGCAGCTGACGTGTGCTGGTGAGCAGCTGACGTGTACAGGTGAGCAGATGACGTGTACAGGTGAGAAGCCGGCAGCTGTACAGGTGAATTCCCATCCCAGAGCCATAACTACTCAAACCCGCCCATTTTTCCCCTCCTTACTCACTCCCCTCTGATGCGTCCAAGGTGACTTTTCCTTTTGAGTCGACTCAAACCCGCTCATTTTTCCCCTGCTTACTTACTCCCCTCTGATGCGTCCATTCCCGTAACTCCCCCACCCCCCGCTCCCCCTCGGCTCAGCTTTGGAGTGATTCTATTCTATTGCATCTATTGCAGGTGAGAGGACGTGGCTGTCCCTCTCGGCTCACAGGGCGCCTGGCCGTCGGGACAGCCACGTCCTTCCATCTCCCCTCCCACTCTCCCCTCCCACTCTCCCCTCCCACTCTCCTCCCCTCACTCTCCTCCCCTCACTCTCCTCCCCCCTTCCCTCTCATCTCACCCTGTCATGCCGGATGACCCTGCCTCCGAATCCTGAAGACCTTCGATGACCCTGTGGAACCACACTTGGAAGAACCACACCCGCCACTCCCACTCCCACTCCCACTGCACCGCACCGCACCGCACCGCCCCTCACACCCCATGCGTCCACTCCCCCCACGCCCCACCCTTTCCCCATCAGCTTCGGAGTGATCCTATTGGAGCTGCTAACGGGGCGACTGGCAGTCATGCCGGATCCAGAGGACCCCGAGGAGCGACCAGTCATCACGCATTCACTCCCTTCTTCTCCCCCCCTCTCCCCCTCCCTCTCATCTCAGCTTTGGAGTGATTCTGCTGGAGCTGCTAACGGGGCGACTGGCAGTCATGCCGGATCCAGAGGACCCCGAGGAGCAGCTGGTCATCACGGACTGGGTCAGTAGCTTTTCAGCCGCATCCAAGCTCATAACACTGCCGCCGCCGCCGCTGCAGTTGCCGCTGCTGCTGTTGCTGCTGCTGCTGCTGCTGCTGCAGTTGCCGCTGGTGCTGCCTCCGCTGCTGTTGCTGCTGCTGCTGCTGCTGTTGCTACTCCTTCTTTCTTGTTACCCTTTATTTCATCTCCTATTTTTGCTGCTGATGATGATTTCGCCCCTCCCCACCCCTCCCCGCCCCTTCCCACCCCTCCGCACCCCTCCCCGCCCCTCTCCACATCTTCCTCACCCCCCACCAGGCCGTGCACTTCATTAACGAGAACCAGGTCGAGCTTATAAAGGATCCCCGCGTCTACACACCGGCAACAGCCGCCGGTTTCACTGCTCTCGCGCTCCTAGCAGTAGACTGCATCAGAGTACCAGCAGTGCGGCGCCCTCCCATGCCCTCCGTGCTGCAAAGACTCATGGATATCAGGAGGAACGTGTTTGGATTTCCGGCTAGGGCGCCTCCTGATCCTGGGTTTACGGGGGAGAGAGACGGGGATGGGGGGAGCGTGAGTGGCCGGGGTGGTGTTGGTGGTGGGAGTGGTGGAAATGGGAGGGTTGGGAGGGAGGGATTTGGGAGTGGGAGGCAGGGTGGGAGTGGTGCTGCTGGTGCTGGTGATGCTGGTGCTGCTGGTGGTGATGGTGGTGCTGGTGGTGCTGCTGGTGCTGGTGGTAATGGTGGTGCTGCTGGTGGTGTGTACAGTGCGAGTGCGTACGCGATCAGATCAAGAGAGGGGGACAGGTCTCGGGCAGAGGAGGGAGAAGAGTACAGCGACAGAGAGGAAGAGGAAGAGGAAGGGGAAGGGGAAGAGGAAGGGGAAGGGGAAGAGGGCGAGGGAGAGAAGGGAGCACAAGGGATGCAACAAGGATACGCATTCGAGCTAGCAGCCACTGCCACAGCAGCAGCAGCAGCAGCAGCAGCAGCGCCACTGCCACTGATAGCAGAAGAGCATTCAGAGGAAACTACAATGGAGGAGGAGGAAGAGGAGGGGGAGGAGGAGGAGACGAGCAGTGGCAGGGACGCCGCATATTACACACCTTCAGAGGACCAGCTCTCAGCTATAGACGTCCGCACTGCAAGAGATGATGAGCTCTCTGCAAGAGACGATCATTTCTCTGCCATTGGAGATTCTTCTTCTTCTGCGACGGGCGAGCTTTCAGCCATGCCCAGTGCGGGCTTCGATGCTTCCTCTATCGCAGCAGACAGCAGCGTGCCCAGCGACATGAGCGTGAGCCGCTTTAGCGAGGACGCGTACAGCGAGGATCAGCTGTACGGGAGTGAAATCAGTGGGAGCGAGATCAGTATGCGTGAGGCCAGTGGGAGGGAAGAGGTCAGGGGGGAAGAGTCAGGGGGAGGGCCAGGGGGGTATATAGGCGAGCAGATGAGCTCTAAATACTTCAGTTTGGAGCATGTCGGCTCGATTGGTGATGCTCAGGTGTTCCCCTCTCCTGCTGCTGCTCCTGCTCTGGCCTACCCATCCGCATCTGCATCTGCTGCTGCTGCTGGTGCTGCTGCCACTGCTGCTGCCGGTGCTGTTGCTGCTGCTGGTGCTCCCCGTGCTGCCAGTTCCCCCTTTGCAACCCCTCACGGGTCAGACTCAGCTGCTCTTTCCGACCCACTAGTTCCTCACTCCCTCTCGCCCGAGCTACAAGCCTCCTCCACTTCTTCTCGTTCGGACCTAGGCATCGGGCTTGGGTTAGGGTTTGCAGCAGGAGGAATGTATTTCTCCAACCTCAGTGTTATCGAGAGTGGAGACGAAGCAAGCGAGTCGGACTATAGCGAGGACGGTTTGGGCCGATATGCTGCTACTCCACCCCTTCCTCCTGCTGCTGCTGCTGCTGCTGCTGCTCCTACTCCTCCAGACGTCTCCCCTGCTTTCCCTCCTGCTAAGCCAACCTCTGGTGAATCAGCATCTACTCTCCCACTCTACAACCTTGAGACTTTCACCATCGGCGAACCAGCAGGGGCACCAGCAGTAGACGAACTAGCAGGCACATCAGCAGCCACACCAACAGGTGCAGCAACAGGCACACCTGCAGGCTCAGCAACAGCAGCAGCAGCAGCAGCAGTGGAAGCACCACCTTCCTTGGACATTCCTCCACGTGGTGCTGCATTCTCCTCCTCCTCCTCCTCCACCGCATTCCCTTCTCCCCCTGCCACCAAAGCAGCAGCCGGATCCGCGTGCTACTATACCGACTCTGAGGGCAGTGAATCTGCTCGGAGCGAGAGCTTTGATGTGCCTCAACCTCAACGGTATTAAGACGAATCTGTAAGGCCAGGCCACGCAAGCAAGGCTACCAAAGCAGCAGCCGGATCCGCGTGCTACTACACCGACTCGGAGGGCAGTGCGTCTGCTTGGATTGAGAGCTTGGGTGCATCTCAAAGGCATTAAGACGATTCTGTTAGGCCACCGAAAGCAGCAGCGCAGAGCAGCGCAGCGCAGCGCAGCGCAGCAACTTTGATGTGCCTCAACCTCAGCGGTATTAAGACGAATATGGAAGGCCACCAAAGCGACAGCTGGGTCCTCATGCTACTAGTCAGATGCTGAGGGCAGTGAGGGTGCTCGGTACAAGAGGGAGAGGCATTGCTGAAGACAGGCAGCACCACAAGAAGCCTGGCCTTTTGAGGCACCTCAATAACCCCAAGCCACAGGAGGCGGCTGGGATTACCTGCTTGCCAACTCTGAGCCGGAGGGAGTTTCAATCAAATGTGCCTTGGAACAAATGTGCCTTGGAACGGAACAACTGTGAAGATGGTAGGGTAGGTAGGGAATTGGCATTGTTGCGGGTCTGATAGCGAGAAACGGCATATCAGCCTAAGGCCAGGTTTATGTTTTATGAATAATTGGGCCGTTTGAAGCTGTCAGTCTGTCAGATATGAAAATGCCATCACTAAAGCCTTGGCAGAGTACGCTAAGTATGTGATATTTCAGGTTTGTCATAGCTTCATAATCTAAAACGGGAAACACAAAAAAGAATGATCGGGCAGCGCATTACATACAAAAGTCCTGCCATACTAAAAATACAAAACAATGACGACAACCTATGTCAGAATCCCAGCCACTAACCACTGGGATAAAAGTGTCAAATGTTGTAGCCTATAGTGAGGTTTGTCTTAGGGGGTACAAAACTTAGGGTTAGCTATATGTACCCCAACCAACATCAATGCATCATTCATTCCTCATTTTAACATGGTATCAGTTAGGTTAGGATCCTGTGGGATCCCGTTTCTCCGTTCTCTGATCCTAGCTCTCGTTTCGCCCGTCTTGCCCGAGCCTAGTGCCGGCCCGATCTAGTCCCGTTCGTTCGTTACCGCTCGTTCTTCCTCCCGATCTAGCGTAGCCCGATCTAGCGTACCGCTGCCGGTCGCGCTGCGCTTCCCCCCGCTGCCCGTCGACCCGCGCTTCCCCCCGCTGCCCGTCGACCCGCGCTTCCCCCCGCTGCCCGTCGACCCGCGCTTCCCCCCGCTGCCCGTCGACCCGCGCTTCCCCCCGCTGCCCGTCGACCCGCGCTTCCCCCCGCTGCCCGTCGGCCCGCGCTTCCCCCCGTTGCCCGTCGACCCGCGCTTCTCCCGCCGCCCGTCGACCCGCGCTTCCCCCCGCTGCCCGTCGACCCGCGCTTCCCCCCGCTGCCTGTCGACCCGCGTTTCCCCCTGCTGCCCGTCGATCCGTCGCCCTGGCCCGCGCCCCAGCCCGTCTCCCCAGCTCGCGCCCTAGCCCGTCGCCCTGGCTCGCGCCCTAGCCCGTCGCCCAGGCCCGGCGCCTTTGCCCTACCCGCGCGCCCGCCACACCTGACCTACCCGCCCGCTCTTGCCCGCTCTTCCTGCCCGTTCTCCCTTGCCGCTGCGCCCTGCTTTCCCTGCCAATTCCGTTTGCACACTATGGCGACCCCTCGCGTCCTTCGTTTCGATGCTGACGGTCGCCCGCTCGATTTCCCAGTCTGGCTTCTTCGCGCTCGCCGCCTGTTAGAGAGTCAGGTCCAGGCAGGCGAGACCCTCTGGGCGCACGCTACTGGTGCCCTACCTGCGCCCCCCGACCCTACGCCTTTAGGACCTGCCCCTGACGACGCCGCTAGAGCCCGCTTTGCCACTCAGCGAGCTGACCAGACGGCTTGGACGTCACGTGACGCTGCGGCCTGCATCGCGCTCAGCAGCCTCCTCCCTGAGTCTGAGGAGGTTCACTTCACTCAGGTTCGCACCGCTGCTGCGTACCTCACTGCGATTAAGGCCCGCTACTCTACTCCCGCTGCTGTCTCTCTTGGCCGCCTGTTCCTCCCGTTCCTGTTTCCTGACCTAGCGTCTTTTGAGCGCTCTGCTGACTTGATCGCTCACCTCCGCTCGCTCGACGCTAGTTACCGCGCTGCTTGCACTGAGGCACAACTTGCACTGCTTCCTCCCCCTATGGCGATTACTATCTATTTCATCGCCACTAGCCTCCCTGACCGCCTTGCCTCCGTTCGCGACGCGCTTCTGCTGAAGCACCCTAGTGAGCTCACCGTCGAGGTCCTTGAGTCTGCACTCAAGGACGTCGAGAGCAACCTTCGCTCGGTAGCCGCTGCCTCTGGTGCTGTGCCCCCCCCACTCTTCCACGGGTGCACAGTCCCGCAGTTGCCCACCTTTACTGCCTCACTTGCCACTGCCGCTACTGACGCGACTGCAGCTGCTGTTACGACTGCGTCGCGGTCCCGCGGTAGGAGTGGCAAGAAAGGCGGTTCTGGTGGTGGTAGTGGAGGTGGAGGCGGAGGTAGTGGAGGTGGCGTTGCGCCTGGCGGCGGTGGAGGTTCAGGGCCTGGAGAGGCGCCTCGTGCAGTGACTGGTGACTCCACTGCGCCTGCTGGTGGTGGCGACGCCCGAGTTCGTCAGTCGCCTCCTGTACTTCCTGCCCCGGTTGGTGGAGCAGCGGCGTGGTACCAGGCTCAGCGTCAGCAGCAGCTTCTGCAGCACCAGCAGCCCCTCTCCTCCCAGCAGCCTCAGCAGCAGCAGCGGCAGCAGCTGGCTCCAGGGTCGGGGCTGCGTCAGACCCAGCGCGGTGCTGCTTACACTCCCTGCACCTACCAGGTTCTGACAGGCCCTCGTCGTGGCCACCCTTGTGGCCGGTTTCACCCCCCTGGTCAGTGCTTTGCTCAGCTCACTGACACGGTTCGTTTGGTCTACGGGGTTGGTGCTCCTGCCCCTGACTGGCTGCCTCTTGTTCAGCGCTACGGCTCCGCTCTGTGGGGCATGTCTGCTGAGCAGTTAGTTGATCTGATTGGTACTCCCCATGCTATGTATGCTGTTGTTGACTCTAGTGTTTCTGACTCTGCTTACTCTGGTGTTGTTAGCTTAGGTGCTAGCCTTGCTCAGTTGCCTGTTGCTAGTGTAGGTTCTTGTGTAGACTCTAGTCCAGCGGCTACCTCAGAGGACGGTTCGCTGTCGTTCACGCTGGACTCTGGAGCTTCTCACTGCTTCTTTCGTGACAGCACGACACTTACGCCTCTTCCTGCGCCTGTTTCTGTGGCGCTGGCTGATCCCACTTCGGGACCAGTCACCGCGCGTCACACTACCACCTTGCCGTGTCCGGCTGCTCCTTCTGGGTCTCTCACTGGGTTTCACGTCCCCTCGTTCTCCCGGAACTTGGTGGGCGTGCGACCCCTCGTGAGTCAGCACGTGGGTGTGTGGTTTGAGCCTTCTGGAGAGACTGCGGTGTGTGTTGACGGGGACTCTTACCAGCCCCTCGCCACTTTTGCTGCTGAGCCGGGCTCCGGTCTCTACACTCTTCACACTGGCCCGCGCGCTCAGCAGCGACTGCAGCAGCAGCAGCACCCGCAGCAGCAGCAGCAGCAGCAGCAGCCGCAGCAGCAGCAGCGGCGGCAGCCGCAGCCGCAGCCACAGCCGCCCCTCCTGCCCCCGGCCCCTGTTTTGCCTCCCGTTCGAGTCCTCGCGTCTCACCAGGTTGCTCCGTCCCCCCAGGTAGCTGTGTCTTGTCAGGTTCCTCCGTCTAGTCCGGTCGCTGCGTCGTGCTCCTGTCGGTCGCTTGCCCACCCCACCGTTTTGTGGCACCACCGGCTGGGACACCCTTCTCTTCCACGTCTGCGTGCTATGTCTAGTCAGCGTCTGGTCTTAGGTCTCCCGCGTGTCTTGCCGTCGCTGCCGCCGTCTCTTGCACCACCGTGCGGTCCTTGCGTCGAGGGTCGGCTGCGCGCCACCCCTCACTCCTCCTCCCTTCGTCCGGCCACCGAGCCTTTTGAGACGCTGCACTTGGACGTCTGGGGCCCCTCTCCTCGCCCTGGCCCTGAGCGTGAGCGTTTCTTTCTGGTGGTTGTTGACGACTACTCCCGCTACACCACAGTGTTCCCCCTGGCGAGGAAGTCTGAGGTGACTTCTACGCTGATCAGGTGGTTGCTTACCACCCAGGACACTCGTGGTCGTCGTGTCAGCTGTCTCCACTCCGACCGCGGGGGCGAGTTTCGCTCCGGCATTCTCGCTGGATTCTGTCGCGAATAGGGGATTTTGTCAGTCCTGGACGCTTCCGGAGTCCCCACAGCAGAATGGGGTTGCTGAGCGTCGCATAGGCCTGGTCATGGAGATTGCCCGCACCTCCTTGACTCACGCCCGTGCCCCCCATTTCCTGTGGCCATACGCGGTCAGGTACGCCGCGCACCAGCTGAACCTCTGGCCACGCGTCTCTCGGCCGGAGGCTTCACCGACCAGTCTTTGGACAGGGTCCCCTGGTGTCGCGTCGAGGTTTCGTGTCTGGGGGTGCTTGGCTCTTGTCCGCGACACCTCCGCGGACAAGCTCTCGCCTCGCGCCGTTCCTTGTGTCTTCCTTGGTTTCCCTGAGGACTCCTCTGACTTCACCTTTTACCACCCTCCCTCTCACCGGTTCTTTGACTCCCGTGACGTCCGTTTCGAGGAGTCCACCCCCTACTACGTCAGGTACCCCAGTCGAGGTCTCCCGGTCCCTCCCCCCCCTCTCTTCCTGACCGCCGCTCCCCCGCCTGCTCCCCCGGTACAGCCTCCCCCCCCTGGTCCAGCCCCGTCTGGTGTGTCTCAGGCTAGCCCTCCCCCTTCGGTAGCCCCCCCTGTACAGCCTCCCTCCCCACAGTCTTCCTCGCCGCCTCCTGCAGGTGCTCCCTCTCGAGAGGTTGGTCCTGCGACTGTCCCTGTACAGGTCTCTGGTTCTGGGGGTGCTGGAGTTGGAGCTGAGCCGCGGGTTGCAGAGGACTCTTGTCTTCCGGGGGCTGGTACTGGTCGTGCGGAGTCTGGGGGTGCTGGTGCGGAGTCTGGGGGTGCTGCGTCTGGGGGTGAGGGTGTCCCTTCGGTTTCTGGAGAGCCTGGGTCTGGAGCTGGTGTTGGTGCTGCCTCTGGGGGTGGTGTGCTTGGTGCTTCGGAGGTCGACTCTGGGGCTGCCGCTGC